ACCTGCTGGACATGTGGTAAAGTCGGACACATCTCTGTGAATTGCCCAAACGCCAGCGACCATGTCCAAGGAAACAAAAGTAATGCAGGCACCAAGCGACGCCGTATTCGTAACTCTGGCAATGCGGGTCTGTCCTCTCCAGCCTCAGCAGGGGTAACTGAGCATAGTTCCAATGTCGCACAACATGTGGAAGAGACACCAGCTCGTGAAACCTCACCAACAAACGAGCAACAACCAAACGAGCAACAACATCGAACCGACCATGACGACTACGGATCGACCGCCTCCGATGACAACGATTCGACCGCCTCTGACGACAACGAATCGACAGCCCCCGTCGCCAGCACCGACACAGACGATGAGGACATGGCAATTGTGGATGAATTAGAGGCGAATGACGTGTCCACCGAACGACCTGCTGCCACTGCCGAGACGGTTGCCGCGGCGCTCCACTCAGTCTTCACCGAAAAGCAAACTACGCCTAACAGTTTCCAGCACATGCTCCAGCTCGCACAAGAAACACAAATCACTCCAGTGTGGCACACCAGCTATCCCCTCACGGATAACGACAGAGAACATCTCGCGGGCTTACCCGAAGAGGAACAAAAATTGGCAGCTATGATATTGCGTCTACGCTTCCCCGAGATCGAGACAGTGCCTGCGAACAAACAAGCCCTTGAGACTTATACAAGAAGTGGCAGATTAGTCAAGCCGACCGAAAAAGCTATACGCAGTAAGCCGGGTCATCATCCAACAAAAAGAAGATGACCCGCAAAAATACGTATCAAAATTAATTATCATCATGACATCCCATCAGATCCTCAAATTGTGCTCTTTAAATTGTAATAGCCTACGCAAAACTCATAACCCTGACGCACGGTCCTCACTTATTCGGTACCTGCGTCAACAACAACCACAACTACTATCACTACAAGAAACCAATGCTTCTTCAGAAGACATTGTAAATTCATTCGACTTTCAATTCAGACCAGCAGTTAGCCTTTGGACTAGTCGCTGCGGCCTCCTTTCATTATCACCTGACATCACCATCACCAAGATCCATATCGACCTGGCGGATAATACGGAGCGGATCATTTTTGCTCATGTCCAATCCGTTTCCAGCACTTTTACACCATTCTATTTTCTCGTCATTTATGCACCAGCCACATCATCAATCCGTGAGCGACACACCTTCTACGACCAACTACTCGCATCACCTATTTTCAACAACCCTGACTCTAACTATCTTGACCGACTTATCATTGCCGGCGATTTCAACTACAACAGTCACCGAGCCGATCATCATAACCGAGTGCCTGCGGCTTGGCGCGCAGTTATTCAAAACAATTTTCTTGACTGCATAACGGATACAGATGCGACATCACCACTACCCACCTACCGCCATGGGGATCTGTATCATTCCACCCTCGACTACATATATGCTACATATTCCCTACGCCCTCATATTACACGTGCTGACGTGCAAAAACTATGTAGAGCCTGGTCCGATCACAGCTTGTTGACTGCCTTTATTGATCTTGGTAAAAGCCCTCGCGGTAAAGGGTACTGGCGCGGTAACCCCAACTTCACCCGTATCAAAGAGTTTCGACAAGACCTAGCACGGCTGCTATCACGACTGCGCCCTAACCTACAGGCCAATGGTACAATCCAAGAACAATGGGACTGCCTGAAGGATGAATTGAAGCGTTTCATGCAACAGTTTGGACGCCAACGTGCTGACTGGCGGGACCAGCAACTCAAGGCCTTACAAACTAAGCGCAACCGCCTCCTCCGTGCAAATCCGCCCCCTGCAATACTGGAAATGCACTTGCCTCGAGTAGAGCGACAAATCGAAATCATCCAGCAAGAGATGGTTGACACAGCTGCACTTCGTGCTAACGTACGGTGGAGAGAACAAGGGGAAGTATCGGCTGGCTACTTAAAACGTACTGCCACCACTCGTCAGACACAGCGCCTGATCCTAGCACTGCAACAACCCCACACTAATAATTTGGCAACAACACCAACCTCTTTACAAGCAGCAGCCCGGGCGTTCTATCAGGATTTATATACTGCCGACCCAGTGGATCAAGACTCGATGGCCTACCTTTTGGATGAGCTTCCCACAGCCTGCACTATCACGGAATCTGCCTGTGAATTGCTCACTGCTGCATTTTCCGCTGAGGATCTTATCAGTGGCGCCAGACGGGCACCAAGTAAAAGTAGCCCTGGCCTCGATGGCCTTCCATATGCAATCTGGTACTTGGTTTTTCAGCACCCGGACTACCAGGAGCTTGCTCGCTCCGTGTACAATGCTGCCCTACAGGATGCAGTGTTCCCCGCATCTTGGAATGACACTGCAGTAACCCTGCTTCCTAAAAAGGGCGATTTGACGACCTTACGCAATTGGAGGCCTATATCTTTGATCAATACGGACGCTAAAATATTCACTCGGCTATTGAACTCGCGCCTTATTCAAGCGGCTGATCCACTCATCAATGAATTTCAAACTGGATTCTTGCCAGGCCGGTTCATAGCCAACAATGGTATGTTGGTGAAACTGGCAATGGAACAAGCGCGCAACGATCCAGCTAGCAATCATATCGCTTTACAATTAGATGCCGAGAAGGCCTATGACCGCGTTAACCCAACGTATCTTCGCCAAGTCATGGTTCGTTTTGGTTTTCCCGAGAGGGTCATCAACTCCATCTGTACTCTGTTTTTCTCGACCCGCATACATCTCAACATCAATGGGCATGTGACGGATCCTTTCATCCAAGGACGTGGTCTCCGGCAGGGGGATCCTATGTCGCCTATCCTTTTTAATCTTGCTCTCGAACCACTCCTCCGCCGCATTATACATGATACGTCTTTTCATGGCTTTCAACCAGCATCTAGTCAAACAATCACCACTCTTTTGCCACCAGCACCACTCAAAGTCCTCGCGTACGCAGATGATGTGTTCGTATTCCTCGCTTCACCTCAAGATTTGGAACGTCTGCGCCTCCATTTACACCATTATCAGGCCGCATCAAACGCACGGATGAACGCTCACAAAACTCAAGCCATATCGCTCTGTGGTAGGCCGCTTCCAGATTGGGCTCCTATCCTCGATAGGGCGGGCTATCCTCCATGCCACACTCGTGCTGATGACAACCCGGTAATTTACCTCGGCTACCCACTAGCATCATCCCAACATCAACTACACACGTTTCTAGAGCAGATATTGGTCAAGATACGGTCGGCCTGCCAGCTACACTCGCAACGCCAACTATCTATTCGCGGCCGCGCTACAGTACTAAACTCATTGATATTATCGAAGCTATGGCACGTACTACGACTCGTCGGTGCTGCGCCTTCATCCTTCTTCAGGAAATTACGCTCAATATGTGGCCAATTCCTCATGACGCGCATGTTCCCTCGTATCAGCTTCGAGAACCTTTGCCAGCCGCGCAGCCATGGCGGGGTGGGCATTTTGAATCCTCTGCTCCAACAGTCAGCTTTACAACTGCGATGGTTGGAACCGCTCTTTGACCAAGACTCAACTACAGCAACATATCTCACCACCTGCCTCTGGCACCACCTTGTGGTCTCGTCTGGTGCCTCAATCGACCCCCGCTTTACTCTGGTTTTTCCCAGTTTACGTGGTCCAGATGCAAGGGATTCGGGCACTGTCGGCTATCTGCTGTATCGAGCTATTGACCAACTTCCAATCGACTGGTTATCATCTAACCTCTCAGCCGCATCAGTTCTCCAGATACCGCTTAACGCCATTTGGGCACCAACAGCGGCTAACACCCGCCTCCATCGCCCGGGTTTCAAAACAATGAAAGTATCTGACCTCTTTGTCTTTGATGCTTCACTTGGCTATCTCCGCCGTCGATCAGCCGCAGATGGTATTATCCGGAGGATCCTCACTAATCGCTTTTTCAACGATCTCGCTCAAGGAAGAATCTTTATGATCAATGGCTTTGCACGGCTCTGTCTCCCGCCAGCATTTTCAGGCAACAGCCACTCTGGATGTCTTGGCGCAATTGATGCAACACCGCTTTCTCTCCGATTGCACACCACATTGCCCATATGGCAGACAAAACGATATCGCCGTACATGCTCACCACCAACGCATAGTGTCACTGGCATTACCGCTCGACAATGGTCCAAATTTTGGTCATGGCCCATGGAACACACTGCCCGCAACGTCTGGTTCCGCACTATCCATGGGACATTACCAACATCTTCACGCCTTCATAGCTTCAATATCTCGCATGCTCCATCCCCGGACTGTCGCCTGTGCCGATCCAACATTGATACCACGCCCCATTTCCTATTCGAATGCCCCCACAAATATCAAGTGTGGCAACTAGTTTGGGGTCGCCTTCAGTACTCGGATCCTAACCCAGCCTCGATCCTTCCACTACTCTGTCAACTCACGTTACCAGACGAACCACCTACACGTCCTATCACCATATCAACTACTATTGCCTGCATTTTACAAGCAATCTGGGCAGCCTATTGGCGTTTTATCTTTCATGATGAGCCATTTGTACCATCCATGGTCGCCTCTCGGGTCTCTTCTCTGTTAATCCGCTTTCGACCTCTATCTCTTTCAGAAATCTTTTAATCTTTTCTTCTATACTATACCCCCACCCTAAAAACAAAAAAAAAAAAAAAAAAAAAAAAAAAAAAAAAAAAAAAAAACAAACACAAAAAACATATCATAGCTACAACACCCCCTATCTCTACCTTCACATTTTACCACACATTATATCGCTCTTAGCCATAGTCATACTCAAGTATCTTTTTAGTCAATCTGTTCTCTCTGTTTCGCACACAGCCCGCCACTGTCATTGACACGTGGGACTGCAAATAAAACTACTTATTTCGAGGCCGACCAACCTCCATAAAAAAAAAAATTTGCTACTATTTTAAATTTTTGTTACCAACAAAAAATTTGTTACTGATAGTTTTTATATGAAAACAGTTGGTAATGCATATACCCCATAGACCGCTACAATTGAAAACGTGCTCTCATTTGCATCGATTATCTTGGAGGCATCTGGAGAATACGCTGATATTCTGGTATTATATGTATAAATTAACGATATGTACGTACTCATAAATGCAATTAGAAACCTTTAAAATCAGCAACATACATGTTTATAAGCGATTCTTTGATGAAGGTTGAGTCGACTTTGTCAGCGATTGCGCTGCAGGAGTTAAGATTTTTATGAGCAGCCTAAAATATATCATCAGTCAATTAGAGCATTTTTCTCGACAAGATTACATTCTATATAAAATTGCACCTTTTCGAATTGACTTAATGCTTTGATAACTGAATCCGATAGCTCTTCAACAGGATATCGGCCATTGCACTCTTCCACCATCAGCTCCCACGTCTGCTCGTCAAAACCATATTCAAGCGATGAGCTTGGATACACGCTTTCTAGACCATCGATCAAGAAGATGCCATTGATTGACCTAGTGGAAATCAAGTATATTAGTCATATGTTTAAAGCCCTCATAGATGATAATACACTTACATTTCCTCCTGGTACGCATCCAACATTCCTTCTTTGCCTTTCTCGATGCTCAGATCACGGTACTCAAGAAGCTTTTCTGTAACTGGCACCTCTCCGACTACCCACTATAACGAGCTGGTTAATATCAATCACATAAATTTACTGACAGTCGCATTACCTTATCAGTACTTTCATGCAGTACTACAGGCTCGACGTGTTCGGTCAGCGCAATCGTAATCTTCTTCCGCTAATTTGAAGAAAATTTTATTAAGTACACATACTTTTGAACGTATATATACACTCACCACTCACTGGCACCCCTGCACATATATATAATTACTCTTATTGCTTAGTACTTACTCTTTTGGTGGTACTCTCCGTACTTGATTTCACGCTATTGCTGTTGCTGCTCTCGCACTGTCGTGGCAAAGAGGACGGGGAAGAAGATGATGATGATGCTGTAGCTGATGATATTGATGAAGACGATGAGGCCCTTTTGCGGCTTTTTGGCAGAGGTTTCTGTAACATAGCAACTTAACCTATGAGATTCTTTTTGACATCACACGAAATATAGATTACCTTAAAAGGTGAGCGCACCGCATCCCAGTCCGGCTGGTCCTTTCTGAAGTTCTAAAACTTCCTGTTCAGCAACTCGGAATACACTGACGAAAGAAAACTAGAACGAAAATATTCGTACACACCTTGATTCCCCTCTCCATAACTAACTCCGTAAACTTGCTGTTCCAGAACCTTCTTACATCAACATCCTCTCCATGCGAAAACTTGTCAATTATGTCTGAATTTTCCTCGATGAAGGATTTCAAAGACACGACGCCTTTTGCTTTCGCGACATACGCATCAAAATCTAGAGCACACATTCAGTACTATGTATATTCCAGCTTCCATACGCATTTCCAGCTTACATTCGGTGATTTGTTCAAAGTTATTGTTCGCCATTTTGGCATGCACTTGTTCGACGTCGCTATTGGAACCTTTGCTTCTGAGACAAGCCCACTCACCATCGAAACCGCCGCAGCGTTGTGACAGCCTTCGTCGGGGCTCTCTGGAGTTGCTCTATTCATCAAGAAAAATTACGTCAGAGGAATTTTTAGTCAGTCACAAGCACAGAGAAATTCCAAGTCCCATATTGCAAGTCCAACAACTGTATCCAGAAAAAATATGCTAAGTCCAACCAAGAGTATCAGAAAACAAAATATATGATGTAAGAGCATCTCCAACGGTCGTTCTAAAATTTTTCTAAAATGGAACGCCGCTATCCTAGCAGGACCATAGAATTGGCATGGTTTTTCCAACGGTCGCGCTATTCTAAAACTGGCTATTGAATTTACTGCTCTGCTCTTTCTACTTCAACCACTCATTTCACAATGTCAAGCCAAAATATTCGCAACCTAAAACAAATGTTCGATGAAGACATCGAGGAAGAACGCCAACGTCAGCGCAGAGTTGAGCGTCTTCAGAGAATCTTTGCAGCTGATGACCAAGACGACGATCAAGTGAGAAAACCCAGAAAAGGCTCTGTTCCTGGTCATCTCGTCATTAACCGCGATCGCGTTGGAGGTCATTGGCGTTTATACAATGACTATTTTGGCGACAATCCTGTTTACCCGGAGTACAAGTTCCGTACTCGTTTTCGCATGAGTCGTCGGCTTTTCGAACGGATCGTAAGCGAATTGGAGCAGAAAGATGCCTTCTTTCCGCAGAAGTACGACGCGGCTCATACGCCTGGATTGACACCGCTGCAGAAAGCGACGGCAGCAATTCGCCAACTGGCATATGGCGTATCTGCCGATGCGACCGACGAATATGTTCGCCTAGGTGCAAGCACTGCTCTTGAGTGCTTAAAGCGCTTCTGCTTGGCAATCAGCCGCATCTTTGGTGACGAATACCTGCGCTCACCAAACGAGGATGATATCAAGCGGCTTCTTGATATGGCGGAAAAACGCGGATTCCCTGGCATGCTCGGTTCCTTGGACTGCATGCATTGGGAATGGAAGAACTGTCCTGCCGGATGGAAAGGACAATATCAAGGCAAAGAGAAGAAAGCTACAGTAATCCTTGAGGCTGTAGCAGACTTCGAAACATGGATCTGGCACGCGTTCTTCGGTCTCCCGGGTACGCTGAATGACATCAATGTCTTGCAGCGTTCCCCCATCTTCGATGATCTGGCGTCTGATGTTACGTCGCCCGTCAACTTTTCTGTAAATGGCCACAACTACACCAAAGGCTATTATTTAGTTGATGGTATTTACCCGCCGTGGGCTACGTTTATGGATTCAATCACGCATCCGATTGAGAAGAAAAAAAAGGTAAATTTTAACAATGCATATGGAGAGCAGCAACTCTAACTACTTATATAGTTGTTTGCCTGTATGCAAGAAGCGTACCGTAAGGATGTCGAGCGTGCCTTTGGGATCTTGCAAAGTAGATTTGCTGTGATTCGACACCCAGCAAGACTATGGCAACCCGACGATCTGTCAATGGTTATGCGCGCATGCATAATCTTGCATAACATGATTGTTGAAGATCAGCGCTGCAATCCAGGAGAGGATGTTGCTGATGACAACGAAGCCGAAGTATTGCGAAGTGTTGGATCGGCGCCCATTTTGACAGTTCGCAGGGATCCAAACACCATGAGCGAATACTTAAATCGCTATGATGAGATCAAGGATGTTGCGGTCCACGATCAACTGAAGAACGACCTCGTTGAGCATTTGTGGCAGCACCAAGGCAATATGATCTAGTAAAACACAAAAGATATTTTTTATTTATTGTTTTCTATTACTCGTCAACTTCGTCGTCGGTAGTCTGTTGAACTTCTACGTCCTGGACAATGGCTTTTGCGATTCTGGCCTTTGCATTGGCCAAAGCCTCGCCTTTTCTCAGCGTCCAATACTCGAGTTCAGCTCCTGAGTATCTGTCGAGCTGTTCTCGCATCACTTCATCGTCGTTCATTTTCTCCTGGAGCTCGATGCGCCTGCGGCTGTTCTGGACATGCTCCTCTTCAGCCTTCGCCAATCGAGCGCGATCATCGTCCAATTTACGCTTGCGCGTTCCATCCTCCTTCTCTTGCTCCTTGGCTTTCTTGCGACCGATTGGGCGCTTCACATACTCAGGTGCGCTTTGATTTGTCACATTGACATACTTGTTACTGAACTTTGGTTGCTCATGAAGCTCATTGTAACAGTGTTGAAACTTCCAAGCAGATTTCGCAGCTTTCTTATACAGCGTTACTGCGTAGTCTTTCTTCACTCCCATATATTCATCAGTACTGGTATCGTATCGTTTATGAAAACTAACATCCCCTAACCTCATTTTCTTCGTTGTTTCCGCTTTTATTTCGCGCAAGAGCTTTTGCAAGACAACCGCAGTATCTAGACACCTCTCTTTGGATGGTACCCCAGCGGTCCGAGAGGGCTCCCTGGCCAGTTCGTACATCCTTATCTCCCCCTCTTTGAAGAAAATCTTTGTAGATAGTCTCCCACAATATTTGGAGGGGAACATCGGTGCCCTTTGACGAACGAGTGGAGGTGGCAAGCCAGGATTGACACAACCACACATCCTCTTCATTGCTCCAGCTCGGACCGCGATTGCCAGCTTTTGCTGCTGCTGCTGTCGACGATTCTGCAACAACTTCGGGAACGGTGGTCGATTCGACACGAGATTCGACATTAGTGATGGGGATCGGGGCAGAAGAACTGGAAGACATTGTTGTTGGAAAAGGAAGTGATTTATAAAGAAGAGAGAGCTTTATTTTACTGCGTACAACAACGCGATTTTATTTTAGAAAACTTGCCCTAATTTTGGGACGCCTATTCTAAAAAATTTGACGCTTTTCTAAAATAGAATAGAAATAGGACGACCGTTGGAACTCGAAATTTTCTATTTCGGAATCCTAAAATAGAATTTAGAACGACCGTTGGAGATGCTCTAATAAGTATCTTTGCTAAAAATTTATAATGATCTTTATTGTTGACGAGAGGGACGTGCATTTGGATTGATAATTTTTTCTATGTCTGTGTATAGCCTTTTTTGTAGAACAATCATATTCTCTAGTTGTGTTGTAGATATGTTTGTTTTGTTTTTTGCAAATAGATTATCAACTTGATTTTTCGAGCGTTCATATTCGGCGAGCAGATCATTTCTATGCTGCTGCTGCTGCTGCTGCTGCTGCTGTAAAGATGGTGGTGGTAGTTGCACAGATGCTGTTAATGTTGTTGACGACGAAAATAATGAAGATGATGCTGGTAATGATGATGATGATGACGATGATGCTGTTGCTGTTGAATAGCGAGGAAAACTTTGGTTTATGATTACTGGAATGGTGGTGTTATATGCGATCAGATATATATGCTTGCATGGCTGGTTACGCTTTTTAAAATCTTCACAACTACAAGAACCAATAACGCCATTGCTATCTGTTTCTTCAAACTTTAAAGTATACAATGCAGAACTAGTAAAAGATTGACAGGTAACCTATTGCCACAGTACAATTAGCAATTGTAAAAGTAAACGCACACATACAGAAACGATACATACAAGATCATCATGAATAGTTATCATCCGGTCAGCTTCATCTGGTAATTTTTTGCAAGCTTCTTTTTTCCTTTGTTGAGCTTCTCTAGTCGCTGTTGTTTCTTCAACACCAGCCAAAACACGCAGGACTTGAGCACGATAGTCATTTTCGACCAACTGCGTCAACACATAGATTACACGATCAGCACGATGATTGCGACTGTATGGAAGATATTTGCGTTTAAGTTTGGAATGCCAGCTTTCGATCAGATTATTTGTATGGAAGGACGCATTCTAAATATACGACCGTAAATAACATTGAAGCGCAAAATAAAGCTAAAACGAGCCTTAAACGTACCTCTCTCCAAGCCTTGCAACCAATAGTCCAGCACATAGCCATAAAATTCAAAATGCTCGTATGTATCTCGCCATTTTTTACCAAATTCATCCCAAGCCTGCACAAATTCAACGACAGTTTTGCAATTCATCAAAGCACCAAGGGCAGAACGAGCTTCATCTCTTCTTTTCTTCGTATCGGCTGTTGACAGAGTAGTTTTGATCTATAACCCAACATATAGAAAAAAGAAGGTTATATTGAATATACGATAATGTGGCTAACTAAAAGGTACCTTGGACGTGATGTGCTTTTCCCATGCTCTTTTGATGTGCCAATGACACAGAAGAACTTGAACTTGATGACCATAAACTG